AGATGTTGTGATTCATACTTTCCGGTAAATTCGTTTCCTGAATTCTCAGTCAAACTGGGACATTTTCTGCACCAAGCCAAAGGCACACGTTTTAGACACAGTCAAAGAGGCGTAATAGAAACAGTATCATCGCGACAGGCCCATAGAGCGGCGTGCCACACCCAATGTGGCTGCCAATGCTAGCTTCAATGCTGCGTGCAACACCTAGAAAATGGTCAAGGCGGTCACAACGCGCGCAACAGCAACGACGGCCGCGTTATACGTAGCAAATCAGCAACTACAACAAGAACAGCCAAGCGGCAAGAAATCATCTATTCTACACCAGGAGAATTTTTTTACACCACAGCGACAACAAAAACAACAACAACAACAAAATCACAGTGAGCAACGGGAGCAGCAGCACCTTGTTTTTGGTGCTGAGGAGCCGCCCGCCAAACGTGTTGCTGTTGCATCGCCAAGCAAAATGGTAATACCATCGACGACAGCAACAGCATCAGCAACAACAACAACAACAACAACAACTTCTTCAGCGTCCAGCACCGCTACGTCCGCCACAGCAACAGCCACTGCTGCAACTACGACAAATAACGGTAACACAAATGCTGCCGGTCAGCAACAGACACAACAACAGCAACAAAATGCTCTCTATCAACAACAACAACATCTGTCCGCTAGCCATAATAGCCAGCAAACGGCACCGCGACAGCACCCGAAGAAGCGGAAATTCGATCCAGCCGAGCTGGACCGGCAACAAGCCTCACCACAGCCGCCGCAGCCACCACAGCAGCAGCAGCAGCAGCAGCATCATAACGCTGGGCCTACATCGATGGCTTCGAGCTGTGCAACCACAACTTCATGGCATGATACGAATATGCTGTCAGCGATCAGGATCGCCAACGGAAGTGCTAATAACAACAACAACAACAACAACGGCAGCTCGCCACAGAGCATAAAGAACGGCAACGTTGAGGCCACATCGACGTCTATGCCATCTATTACAGCAGCAACAACAGCGAATATTAACGTAAGCAGTACTGGCAGCAACCGTGGGTGGGTCACAGCAGCAGCAACAACAACAACTACAGCGTGTGCTTCCGATGGCAATGCACCGCCCACGGAAATGGTCTACACAGCAATACGTTCCACGTCGCAACAACAGCATGCACCGGCAACACAATCAATGATTGTAAGCCCAGTGACAGCGACGACGTTTGGCGCGACAACAACGGTACCAGCGGGAGTTGTAGTTGGCGCTGGCGCCAACAGTGGCAGCAGTGGTGCGGCAGTTGTAACAGCGACCGGACGCGGCGCTAGCTTGCTGGAGAGCCCCGAGAAGCGCATCATTATAACAAGGTAAATTGAAGTAGCTAATTAGTCTGTCTGTCATACGTTTATACATATATAAATATGCTAAATTTTTTTGTTTTTTTCCAAACAGTACACAGCCATCGAGTACTTATAAGCTGCAGAATGTTATGAGTGTTAGCAATAGCAACGCCAACAATAACCGCACGCTGACACCCACAAGCAACGCGGCTTTGCAACAACAGCGTCTCGTCTACCACCATCATCTGCAACAACAACAACAACAACAGCCACACCAGCAACAGCCAATCGTTGCCTTGCAGCAGCAAACTTTAGCATCTAATTTAGATCTCAGCGAATGGTCGAATACTCGCGTATTGGCCAAATTGAATAATTTCTATGCATCGGGTATCATACGTCAAACGACTTCGCACAACGGCAATAGCGCTAACAACGCAGAAGCCACAGCCTCGTCGGCCTCCACATCCGCCTGCGGCTCGTCCAATAGTAGACCGCCATCGGCTGCTCCGCCAAATTCGATTTTGGTGGAATTCGATCCGCCGGAAAATTGTACACAACGCTTTACGGACGTGTTGGGCAGCGGGCGTTTCAATGTGATATTGGACGCGAGTCCACCATTAGCTGATGTAAGTCAAAGTGCAAACGCTCGCATATATCTACCACCACACATGGATTTGTTGGTGTCGCTGCAATTCGCTTGCAACATTGCAGTTGCGCCATCAAATCGAATTATATATAATATATTGGCAAGCCAAACCATTGACCTAATTAATCTGCTCTCTGCTCTACCAATTTTCTACTCTTTCCCTCCACCTCCCATTTTATTAGATTAACTTGGATACGCGGGTTTGTGTGCGCAGTCAAATCGAAGGCCGATCGGGTTACGTTTTTGTGGAGGGCGTCGTGACGGACATCAATACACACACAAAACAATTCACAGTGCAAATCAACACAGATTCTACGCCAATCGTAAGTTTCAAATTTCAATTGCTTTTTTGTTGCTAGCTTATGTGATTAGTATTAAAATTGAGGTAAAATTGATTAATTTGTATCCATTTTAAATACATACAGTCTTATGAATTGCACTTTGGGGCCTCGACGAAATAATGCCCAAACGTTAGTATCTAGGCAAGATAGTCAAACCCCGAAAGGATTTCGTTGAGGTCCTAAAATGACTCTTCCACAGTGGAATCTCTCGTTCGTTTTATTCGAAATATCACGCACCCTCTTCAAAAGAAGCAAAACCCAATAAAAAAATATAAATGGGTTGATTTTTTTTAATAAATCAATTTGTAGAATTTATCAGCAAATATTAAAAAAAGGAGGATTCGCGATACATATGTAATTTCAAATATTTAACAACTATATACACCCACTCCCTTTATTTCACTTCAGTTCAAAAAAGTTAAACGCGCTGATCTGCGCCTTCTACTTCCGCCTTGGTGGGATGAGTTGCGCGAACTTTCACCTTCGCCGCACCAACAGCAAACGCTTGCGGGCGGCGCTCACAAAACTGGCAGTGCACACTCAGCATTGCTGACGCCTCCACAACAACATCGCAGTGGTAGTGGCAGTGCCAGTGCCAGTGGCACGCCCGTGTCAGCACACAAAGGCAGCACCAGCGGCCATCATTCACAACTGACTTACGTGGCGATGCGTTACGATGGTAAATGTCCTGCACATCTGACACCCACCGGCGGCGCTCAGCAACTCACGCAGCATATGTCGCCGTTCAGTACTACCGCCGCGGCCCAACAACAGCATCATTTACAAAAACAAGAAGAGTATTATCGCACGACTGCCACCTCACCCTTCCAGACAGTCGGCGGTGGCAGCGGGCAACTGTTACTTTTGAATGCCAGCACATCAGGAGCCATCGGGAGCAAGCAAAATGGTAACGGCAGTCATGGTACATCATCGTTGCCCGAAATTGTTGTCTCCCAACAGCAGTCACAGATGAGTGGCGGCGCCAACAGCCATCAGCCGCACTCGCAGCACTCGCAGCAATCATCGGCCGCACACTCACAATCGCCATCGGATGATCTGCAGCGCCGACAAGCACGGCAGTACGATGAATTCGAGTCGGACGATGAATTGAAAGGTGTGCAAATTGATGACTACACGCTGGGCGATGGCGATCCCGAAAAATTATCGGCGGGTAGCAAACGCAGCAGTGTGCAGAGTCGTGGCAGCACATCAAGCACTCCAAGGTAGTGGCATGTTGCACAGCCACACACACTTCATATAATTAATTTCAATCAATATATTATATATATATATTCTTAATAAACGTGCAGATCTCAAGCAACTACACCGCATCGCTTCAAGAAGGGTGACATTGTACAATCGGAGTCTGGTGTACGCAAAAAATACAATGGCAAACAATGGCGTCGTCTATGCGGCATGTGCTCCAAGGAATCTCAGCGACGCGGCTTGTGTTCGCGCCATTTGAATCAGAAAGGCAGTGCTTTGCGTCCCAATGGCGCAAGCCGTTTTCCAAGGTGTGTGTGACTTTAGCAGTGCGTTTTTTTCTTTAATAATACCAAGCTTAATATATATATGCTTTGTTACAGTAGCGATGTGAATAGCCGTTCAAGCAGCAAAACACAAGCGGATGAAGACACTTCACGCGATTCGGAGACATCGCCGAATTATCGTGTGACAGGCCGCTCCGACCAGGAGGAAACTGATGTGGCTAATATTTTAGGTAAGCAAAAAATGTGTGAACCGGTGTAAATCTACCATAAGTATTGGGATTGGGGTAATTTTCTGTGCCTCGCCACAGAGATTCGAAACTTGCGCTAAGTCATTACAGAATAGTCACGCTGGGTAATATAGAGGTAGAGCTTTTAAAGAACTTCATTGGGGCCATGTACGCTGGCAATGGTATGACAGTTTGATAAAACTATTCAACTCCTTTCCAGAGGAGCAGCCTTTTGGTTCCTCTCAACTTCCCATTTCAGAAAATAAATCGACTAAATTTACCTTCCTATATTGAAAGTATCTAATCGTTTTGAAATTAAGCCAGGCAAACGTTCTGATCGATGACTGCCGTTGTCAAAGGCCTCAAATCAGACCAAGTTTTCCTGAGCCTACCGTAGATGACGCTTACCGTTAACAAAAATTACAACCAAAAAAATGTTTAAAAACCACCTGTTCTCCTGCAATGCTGTCACTGCAGCAATGTCATTCGCTGACGTAAAACATGAATTCTTCTTCTTTTGATCTTCAGTGTACTCGGAACACAGTGAGAAACACATATTGTACATAATGTTTCAATATTTCTCATAATTTTATCAACAACTGTTAAAATAGCAAATAGTTTCAAGTACCTGCACAATTTTCACATTTTCATTGTTGTCGTTAAGCACTCGAAAAGGTAAACCCGTCTCTGCAGGTAAATAGCAAATGTGCGAAAGAACAAAGCCATCAAAATGGAAATGTGTGAAGTGGTCATTGTAACGAGATCCAAAGATTGTCATTGTAGTCATGAGGATACAAAAACAACAAATAATGTGAAGAAGCCTTTAAGAAAAATATAGGCTGCGCTAAGCATTCGCTTTGAAAGCAACAACAGAAAATAAGTGGAAATCGGACGCGAAACATCTAAATTAGGCATAAGTTGTACTTTCCCACGTCTCGAATATTCTTTTATTTAGAAAAATTTTCTTAAACAGCTATGCAAATTGTTGTTGTTGTTGTCCCATGTGTGCAGTAACTTGATTGCTAAAAAAATGAATTTAAATATTTTTCTGCCTAAAGATGATTTAGCGAGCAGCTTATATCTGCAATGTTTAAGTAAATAATATATAAATAATGCCTATATTTGTTACCTCCATCGCCACATTAACGTCGCACTTTATTTCTCTTCCGCGCAGTGTCACTCAGCAGCTCTCGTTCGGCAACGCCATCCTACTCATCGCCTGTGAACCACGGCACCTCTCCAATGAATGTCACTCATTCACCAGTGCCAGTTGTCTCCAATCGCCAGAATTTTTTCACACCAATTGGCGGTGGGCCCGTTGCGACAGTGGATGCGCATACAGCTAAATGGAAAGCCGCAGCCAGTCCCATACAGTATGGTACAGTGGGTTATTCGCAAGTTATTCGCCCGGAATCGGTACGTGCTCAGGGCGCTGGTGCTGGACCACCACCACCACCACCACAAAAATCGCCCGTCTCCATGGTGGTGCATCATCAAACTGCAACACTGCCAAGCTCAGCAGCTGCAGGCGCGCATCTTCTCGGAGCAAATAGCAATGTACATCATTCCTCTCTGCAGCCAGCAGCGCATCATGCGCCGCCACCGCCACCTCTCGCGGCACATCAACAGCAACATCAGCAGCATTTACAACAACAGCCGACTATGGCGCATAGTCATATGCCATTGTCGCCCGCCGCGCCGCCTCCACCGCCACCAGTGGTAAGCAGCGCAGTAATTGCACCACCCCGACCACCAGCCTCAGTGGTCACTGGCGTTGGCCATGCCACAACCAGCGTCATACGGATCTCACCTGCAGCCGCCGCTGCTGCCGCCGCCGCCGCAGCTGCTGCCAACAATGGAGCTGCAGCCAATGGTGCTCGTGGAAGCAACACAGCACCAACACTGCCGCAGTCATTTCATCCCGTCATCGTTGATCCCACACAATTAGTGTCATTGCTGTCACCTGCAAGTGGAAACCCAGCGCTGCAGGCAGGGCAGCCCACATTGGTTTCGATTAGTAGTGGTTTGGGTGTGGGCGCCAATGGCTCGCTTTTGGCGGCCGCACACCAACAGCACATGCAACACCAACACCAAGCGCCGCAATCGGCAATGTCAAACGAAAAGACGCTTCCAAAAAACGGTTAGTTAACTACACCATTTTCTTGGTGTGTGAATATAACGTTTCTTTTTTTCCCTCCCTCATTTAGGATTTCCGCCGGGGTCGATATATCAATGGCAAACGCTGTTGCCCACCATCAGTCAGTCCCCCGTTAAAGCGACCAATTTTACCATAGCCGGCATCATACCGCCAACGGCGGAAACACCACCACCACCATCACAGCAGCATCAACAGCAACAACAACAATCAGCGCAGGGAATTAATCTGGTCAACCATCATGGCGCACACAACAATCAAAAGAGTCATAGCTTGAATGAGAGTCACAACCATATTGGCGAGTTGGACTCGCCTGAAAAACCTTTGAATTTCTCAACAAGCGATGCCGCCGCCATGTGTGGAAGTATGAGTGCGAGTGAGTTAAGAGCGCCAGGTGGCAGCGGGGGCAACAGCGGACTACAAGAAGATAACGACGATCAGTTAGACGATGATGTATTTGAGCCATCGCCACCAATGGCGCCTTCAGCTCATCCAAAACCGAAACATACGCGTTTTGCAATCAACAGCAGCAGCGACAATTACAGATATACCACCTCATTGGCAAATGAATGTGGTAATGATGTAATGGGAGAGCCAAAAGCGCCAATAACTGCTGCAAATAGTGGAACAGGCCATCACCAGACAGCGGCGAAACGTCGATCGCAATCACTCAGCGCATTGCAGCAACAGCAGCAGCAACAACAAGCGAAGTTAGCGGCGGGTAGCGGTGCAAGCGCCATTGACAAGGAGCCATTGAGTCCAGTGACAATAGTGAGTGTTGCCTTTATAGAACAAACTAACCAATACCCATTTAGACCGGTGCATTCGTTTTTTAGCCAGTTATTTATAACGAAAAAGGCTAAGATTTTGTGTAGTATATCTATAACTTTTTAAACACAAGGATTAGATATATTTACTTGATTTCGCGTAAATTTATAAAAATCGCATGAAAGATATGATTAATACTTTTTCGTCTCACCATCTTTCACAGACCAAAATTCGTCGGCCCATGAACGCTTTTATGATCTTCTCGAAAAAGCATCGTAAACTGGTTCACAAAAAGCACCCAAATCAAGATAACCGCACTGTTAGCAAAATTCTTGGTGAGTGGTGGTACGCGCTGAAGCCGGAGCAGAAAGCCAAGTACCATGAATTGGCAAGTTCCGTGAAGGATGCCCATTTCAAACTTCATCCAGAGTGGAAATGGTGCTCGAAAGATCGACGTAAGTCGTCTAGTTCTGGCAAAGGTGGAGCAAGTGGCGGGCCCCCAGGGAGCTGTGACGCCAAGCAGCGTAATGATTCGATGGATGGCACCGATGCATTGGGTATAGACTTGCCAATACATAGTCCTGGTTCTGCTGGTGCTTCTAGCAGCGTTGCGGCAGACTCTCAGGGTGACATCATCCCACTGACAATCGAAGAGACGCTTGGACACGTGAAAGAAGAAAAACCGCGAATCAAATCGGAAATATTTCCACCGGACGAAATGCAGTCTGATGATGAGCACGTGAGTGTGATTTAAGAGAAAATAAAGTGTTTGTTGTGTTATTTAACTTTAAATTTCTGTTTCGATAAAGATGCTGGTGGTTGACGAGCCAACCAATAATAATCTGGCAAGTAGCAACAACAATAGTGGATCTCAGCAGCAGGATGCTACCATGAAGCAAATAGATTTAAAGTGTCGCGAACGTGTCACTGACTCAGACGTGGAGGATGGCGTCTACGATTATAGGAAACCATCCACATTGGCGACAAAAAATGTGAAAAACAAAGGCACAAGCGAAAATGGGAAGGTTGGTTGGCAGTTCTGATGGATGCTTTTAATTAATCTTTCATTTGTTCTTCAATATATGTCGTGGAATGATTACTATTCAAATCAAATTAGATTATAAGATAGTTACACCTTTTTTTTTCATTTTTAAAGCACACAACTTTAGAGGAGACATGCATAAAAAACGAGAAACAAACACAAATGGACACTTTGGAACATTCAACAGCCAGCACATCTGGCAACAGTGCGACTAACACGGGCACTGACCGCGACATAACCTTGAAACCAAAGGCCATCAAGCCATATGCCTCGAGCATTGAGAGCAGCATACTAAGTCCTCAGCAACTGCCGATGTATTCGTACAACAGTCCGAAAAATCCAATCGGTGTAACACCATTCCAGCCAACAGGCGAGCGCAATAAATTATAAATGAAATACAACTTTGAAAAATGGTTGCAGACGTTGAAAAACCGGGGGGTTTCCGTAGCATGCGCTGCTTGAATTTTACACACCTCGCCAATTGCTGCAACCTTTTTCGATTGTATTCTTTTATAAATATGCAAATGCTAATAATAAAAGTAGCCTAGTTTTAGTTTATGACCCTGTTTTTCTACGTTCTACATATTTTAGGTGGCGCTTTTAAGACCATGCCAATAAGTCCGAAGAGCACAAAGATGGACGAACAACAGCCACATCAAATGCATATTAAGCAAGAGGATATCAAGCAAGAGCTCATATCTCCATATAAAGTGAATGGCAGTGGCGGCAGTGTAAATAGTGTATTCACATTCAATGTGCCAATTGGCGCGGCTGCTTGTTCAAATCAAAAACAACAACAGCAGCAGGCAGGACATCCGTTGCGCAGTCCAAACACCATGGAGAGTTGTAGAGGAGGTACGTATGGGCTGGGATTTTGATGTATGCATATATTCTTTTGCAATGCCATTATTTTAATTTCAAAATCCGTTTTTGTTTTTTTTTTTGGTTCCATTTATTTCCGTCCGCTCACATTTTATTTTATTTCGAAAATCTGAATGGGTATTAAGAGAGCGTTTAATTTTTTGATTATCGAATTTCGAAACATGAATAGAACTATATTGTTTACTGGGTAAGGTAGCTAAACTGAAAGCACAATTTCCAAACTTGTTTTCATTTACTCCAGTGGAACGCTTTCGAGAAACCTTTATAACCTTAAAAATGTTCCTGCTTATATTATCATATCGTCGTTTAAAGTACAAAACCGCGTAACTGACATTGGCTGCCAAAAATTGGATTTGCTCACACAAGCTCTTGGCTCAATTATTATCCATTCGTTCTGAAATATACTAGCCAGAAATGCGATTTCTTTATAAAAAAGAGAACCATTTTGAAATATGAGTATTTTTACCCTCTAGAAAATAATTTCTAAAACTTCACATACGCGGTTTTGCATTTTGCTGATACGCGGTTTTGCCCTTTAAACGACGATATGTAGGTGTGTTTAAGAAATTGTAAACGTTATATTTTATTGGATTTATCTATTTTATTTCAGTTGTTGCTATTGTGTTGAATTTTATTTTAAATATGTGCCCATTTACTTTAATATTATTATTTTTAATAATTTTTCTTAGATTTAATATTAATTGTATACTTTTTAGCGTTCTGTATTTGTAATAAAACTATTAATGATTAGAAATTATTTGACCTGGCCAAATTAATTGGCGGTCGAAGAATTATTAAATTTGCAACGATTGCCGCATCTAACCAATCATCCTTAACATGTTCATATGACAGAACATACGAGTACTTTTCATTTCAAAATTCATTCCAGTCTTTGTAAATTGATTGCCTCATTTCATTTACATTATTTTCGTTCGTTAGCACATAACATTTGATGTGTCTTCTCTCTATCATATCATTCTTTGCTATCGCTCTGTCTCTCTATTCTCTTCGCCGTGTTTCACAATTAACCATTGACCATGCCCACATGCGCATTGTTCGTTTACTAACATCATCGACATCATTCAATTTTGCATTTGCCGGCAAACGTATCCATCTTAGCCGCTAATGCCTCGGAACGCAATAGAGATTGCAAACAACAGCTCGTTTCTGAAGCCAGCATCGGCGACGATTACGAAGCTTACGAAACGGAAACCGATTTTGATGACATCGAATTCTATACAATACCCAAATTACGCTTAACCAGCACACCAACAACGCCGACCTGTAGCCAAACACCAACAGCAAAAACGTTTCGTTCCATTGTTGCTGTAAGCACAACAGAATCGCCAGTCGATCGTCCACCACCATTGAAGCGTCGCCAGTTCACAATTGTTCGTTCTCTGACACCACAGCAGCACACTTCGCCACATCGACAGTTAAAATATTTACATCAGCGTCGTGTAGAAACGCCGCCCACAGTGATTACACGCGTACCCACACCATTTGGCTGCAGTGAACCCCAATCGCCCAAACTGAGGCGACAGTCGTTGAATGCATCACCAGCGCTGCAGCTCGCCGCGGCAGCTGTGCCTAGTACGGCACAATTCGCCATCATACGCACACATCACCATCATCATCACACACATTCTCATTCGCTGAGTTCTACACCACCACCATTATTTTTTAACAAAGCGCCAAGAAATACAGCTACGACAGTCAATTCAAGCGCATCTCCACTCACTTTGCCGGCAACCTCAACATCAGTAACATGCGCATCCTCATCATCATTTTCCACATCAGCATCCTCATCATCAACGTCTTCATCCACATCCACATCCACTTCCACAACTGCCTCGGCCTCTTCTCAAACTGAGAAATTTAATGTTTTTTCATCTCATTGCTCCTCTAATATTAACCATAACAACAATAACATTGACGCGCCACAATTGTCGGCTATAACGAAATCGTCTACTCCAACGGCAACAACAACGATTATAAAAAAACTGATCACCTTTAAAAACGGTTATCTTCTGAACAATAACCACAACAATAACAATAACACCAACACCACTGACTATGAAAAAGATGTATCCAATAAGAATCAGTCGGCTGCCCGCTCCACCATTCTGTGCGATTCAATGCTGATGGACGCAGTCAAAGGCGCACAGCACACCGAAAGTGAAGTGGAGGGTTCCATTTTAGAGCCAGCTTGCAATACCGCGGCGACCACATACCAGCAATCTTCGACGCAACCATCTACAATGTTAGTCATCACCGATGGCCAGCGTTACGCCAGCGCAACCAGCGCTCAATTAGTACCACATAAACTGAAGAAATTGGTTGATGTCGGCAACGGCGGCGGCGGCAGCGGCAGCGGCGGTGCACCCACCTACACATACGTATTGGCCACCAATAGCGTCGGCGCTGGCGGCAACAAAGTATGCAACAACAATAGCAATCCCAAAGCCCTCAACATCAATTCGACGCCGAGCACGCCTATCGCACTGAAGCAGCAAAATAATGGCGCGGCCACACTGCGTCCATTATCGTTGATCAGCGTGAATTCGTGCAACAAGATCACACTTCCGGCGAATGCTCGCATACTCGCTGCAACTTCGTGCGCGCCCAATAGCAGCAGCCACGGCAGCCTTGTGTCCATGGGCACTGGCAACGCATTGACCACTGGCAATGGTGCAGGTACAGCGGTGCATTTTGGCAGTAATCCGCCGCCAATCGGCAGTACGTTGACGCTGTTAAGTGCTGCGCCATCACTCGCAGCAACAACAGTGCGCCCTACCGGCAGCAGTGGCAATAATGTCAGCAGTAACAACAATAACAACATCATTACCATTACTAACACCACTAATACCAGCAACAATAATAACAACATCAATAACATATTCACTTTCAGCAGCAACGACACAATAGCAACAACTAGCGTTAATGCCGCCGCCTTCAATGCTGGCAGCAAAAAGGCTGGCGTTGAAGGGAGTGGCGGCGGCAGTACATCGATTTTAATGTTTAACTCAAATGTAGCAACTGTTGTTAACTCCACAGCTGGTGCAACACCGTCATCTGTACCCTCGTCGCCTGCAGCAGTCATCAGCTCGGCTGCGGCTACTTGTTTTGCCACCACACCGGCTATGACGCCGACCCAAATACTTACGGCCACGAGCGGCGGTAACGTCGGAATTTCAACCGGGCAAAAGCAGATACTCTTCACGGTCAATAACATGTTGAATCAGGTAAAGAAGGCAATATTGACTATGCGGAAAGTACAACTTTCAACTTTTATTTTTAAACTTATTTTTTCACTTTCAGTACGCCATACTGCCAATGCAACAGCCCGATCCGCCAGTTAATGCTGGTAGCAACAATGGTGGCGGATGTGGCCCGATTAAACCCACTCCTATTTCGTATGCCAATTACAAGAAAAACAATGGTCAGGCGGCTTTTGGTGTAAATGCAAATGTCGGCGCCTGCAATACTGTGTCCAATGCAAACAACAACTCTATGTTGTTGCACAACTACATAGGTTTGTAGACATGAGTTGTGACTTTATATGCAAATAATTATGTGACAATTTTTTTTCTTTTTTTTTAGAACGCACACCAAAATCGCCCACTACCCCAAAATCCGCCTGCTCTTCTTCGACACTGGCCCTTAATCCGCCTGACTCGGCTGGCAAACGTAGCTCCGACGACAGTACTGCTTCAGCCATAGACCCAGATGAGGAGCAGACTGACATTGGTGGAAAACAACAGTTCATTTTGGCGCCAACCCCAGCACAATTAGGACGTGCAAAATGTCTTAGGCGCAAGAATTTGTGTACGTATTGGGTACCTCTAACTCGGACTAAATAATCAAAACTTTCTACTTTTACAGCTTCAAACAACCTCTCCAACGATAACAGCAATGCTAACTCCTTCTCAACTACGGCACTAATTGGCAACCACACTGGTAGTAATACTGCAAAGAAGTTAAACTCACCAATATTGGTGGACTCTTCATCGCCGATTATTGGCAATGTGAATATGGTTGTAAATTCGATAACATCGGCGTTGCCCACACCCACCTCGTCTACTACCACCCCCAACAGCGACGAACAAATGCCCACAACTCCATCGGCTGTCAATAGTAATAGCAGCTCCAGTAGTGTCAGCGGCATGGGCGGGATGCTGAATCCAAAATCGCCATTAAAGTCGGCATCGTCTACCAAAAAGAAAAACGATGACATGGATAAGTGAGTTCTTCTGCGAGTTGAACATGAATTCATTATAAAAATTATGAATTGTTATTATAATGGTATTTATTGTTGTGAACTATTTGCAGCGTATTGAAGCAAGTTGATTTCGAAAAGAAGTATCAAGCATTGCCACAATTTAAGCCCGAGGACTGTCTGTCGCCGAGCGCCATTGCTGTGCCATCATCGCCACGTGTCTACGGCACTAATTATCGTAAGAAGAATGCGCCGCAGCCTAGTGCACCGCCAAAAAAAGCGTAAGTGATAACCGCTGATGAAAATCATTGTTTTTTTTTTATATATATATAATCGTGTTTTTTCAACAGTCTGCGAAGATGAGTCATCCGTTGAAACGGCATCTGTGCCATCAACACCATCTCAACGTTTCTTCGGTCCCGATTTTAGTATTGAGCAGCTAAGTAAGTTAGAAAACATAATTTAATCAAATTTCTCAATTGTTATGTTTTGCTACTTTACTAAGAATAGTATTGTTATTTATTTCTCAAATAGATTTGGAGAACTCTGAAGAAACAGACCGTTCGCCACGGACGCCACAAACTCCCTTGCAAAGTGCCCGCTCTGATGCCAGCGAAAAAGGACATCGTAAAGTCTTGGAAATACGTCGAAATTATGTTTATCAGCTTTTCAGCGAACACGGCATGTTTCCATCGGCTCAAGCCACAATGGCCTTTCAGGTATGTATTAAGAATAAAAAATAATAAAAATAAATATTTAGACTTGCACATCTTACTAAGTGGCCGAGCTGCTCCTCCAATTTGCGTTGTGATTTTTTATGTCGTCATATAAATGGCGAGACCTGCAAATGAGCGCGCCTCCTCCGAATGGCGAAGTGGTTTTATGAGAAGCGTTTTATGACAAGTACACTCGGTCGACCACTTTTTTTGGAAAATAATTGCCGAATTAAAAGACCAAATTAGAACAGTTAGATGCAATTCTTGGCTATTAGGGCTTTGGAAAAAAAAACGAAGTAATTTTCCCAAAGTCTTCTAAACTGGTTCGTTCGATATAAATCTTTTAAATAATCGTATAAAACAAAAAATAAAATAAAAATTTTATGGAAGCGTTTACTTCTTATAGCTCACAAAATTTTTTTTAATTTGCATTTCTTCAATAATCACAACTATGCCGACACTTAGGAGGATGACAGTTTTTTACTAATTTTTTTTTTTATGTAGATACATATAACTAATATTTGCCTTTTCAATTGCAGAAAAAGCATATTGATGTTTTTCCACGAAAGCAAGATCTCCAGCTGAAAATACGCGAGGTGCGCCAAAAGTGCATGAGCCAGCCCGGTTTTACGCCACACTCAGCTGGTCCCATGACGCCATCCGGCGAAACGGGCATATCTACAACGTCTGCAACAGCTACAACAAGTATAAATGTATTAAATCTCAACACTGGTAGCAATGCCAACTGTGGAGGTAATACTTAATAAACATTAGAATGTTATTTTTTTTACAATAAACCGCCTATACTTTTTTATCATTTTACCATTTAGATGCACAATCGCAAGCAAGCAACGAATAGCAGCAAAATCGTATGTTACAAAAACTACAACAGCAGTGAGTACGATGAAGATTTCGATAGCGTCCAAGAGGCTTGTAAGCAAAAAGGTTTTAATAAAAAAAAAAAAAATATTTATTTTAACTATCAGTGACTAGCTAACTATATGCTTAGCAAAATAAAGTACAAGCCAAAGCACAAACTCAAGGTGCCATGACAAATCGCAATGCAGCCGATGTGTTTGCAGTCTTGAAACGGCGAATATGTGTTTTGCTGTTGATGATATTCATTAGCTATTAGCATATTAATTAAAAAAAAAATAAAAATTACGAAAACCATTGGATTGGCTAGCGCAAAAGTCTCGGTACTGCAAATTTCAGAAAGGCCCAAAAATTAACGTTTAGTCGGTCGTTAAATTGATTTTAGTTTTACAACCCATACATACAAGAAAACAAAAACCAATCACAGTGTTTGCCATAAGTTTGTAACTTGCTTATTTCCGCAAGAAGTGAAAATTACTCAACAACTAAAACCTATAAAAGGCAACTATGTTCAAGACTTCACAGAAATTAATACAGCAACCAATGAAAACACAATCGCAACTGTTAATTAAATAACTTATGGCGTATGATAAGAATTAAAGGCACTCCCCGTTGCGTAACCAGCAATACCAGCCAGCTACGCCAAGAACAAATGCCACCATAATGAACGCAAGAGCAAGCTCTAAAGAATATTTAGGCGATGAAGCCAAGATTCTGAAATCCAAAAACTCTGAAAATAAACAGACACAAAGTGAAGAACGCAGGAAATAAATAAAAGAAAACTTGCATACATACATACATACATGCATACGTATACAGCACATTAATAGAAATAAAATAAAAATATACATAACATAAAATAGATCCCAACTTATACATAAATAGCAACAGCAACAATACTGAAAATCATACAGGCATAGAAGTGTAAACCCTTATACAAGCTTATAACCAATAATAACCAATAAAATGGATTACAAAAAGTAAACTAGTTAAATAAGTAAAAGCAAAATGAAATGAAAAAAAATTGATAAATGCTTACAAACAAACAAATATAAATACACAAATGGAAAATATAAGAAATTCAGCATAGTTAATAAAATTAATAAATAACTGAGCAGACATTACAATTTAGTAGGCGAATGAAGTAAAACTTAAAGTTTAAATTAATATCTATGAATAAATGAAGCTAAGAAATGTCTTAAAGAAGGTAAATTGAAATAAAAATAAAACAAAAAAACGGCAATATAATAGGCATTCAATACCAGTTTATGCGTCAAAAAAAAGTACATGCATGCATACATATTATAATTCTACATGCACACATAGTAAAAATACTATTGCATGCACAGATTTTAATAGGCTCACACACACACATGTATAGACATATCTTCATTACATTGTTAATAGAGAGAACTCATTGTTTGAAACAAAAAGAAAAAAATGAGCCTGCTTTTCAATAATTTTCCCTCACCATGCGCAAAGTTTTTTTTTATTGAAATTTTAATCGAAGTTTTATTTAAAATCTTTTGAATTATATTTATGATTTTAACAGCATTTTAACCAAACACGAGCAAAAAATAAAATAAAAATATTTACTTATCTATTATATATATGTATGTATTTGATGTCGACAACTACCGTAATTTGTAAATGAACTGAATTGTAAGCAAATGGAATATACGTAGATTTATATTTTTGCATGTGTGTTTTAATTACTAGTATTTTTATTTGAACTTTTTTAATTTTGAAGTCATTTGCGCCTTAAAGTTTTATAAAATAAACTTTATTTTAGCTAAAGTCTCATGCAATAAGGAATATTTGCTTTAAGTAAATTGTAAAAATTTTCTGCTATTTGCTTTGTTTTTTTTTTTTTTAATAAAAATGAAAAATTTTACTATGAACCTCGAGACAAGTTAGCATATTTTGTAATTTGGTAGAACCAGATAGGCTACGTTTGTAGTTAAAAACCAAAAAAGAATTGTTTAATATTTGAAAAACGTGCTTTAATTCATAACTTTTTAAGTGCTCACGTGGCCAGGCAAATGTAAGTACTATGTATACAGTTAGAAGGAAAGCAAGCGCACATACATATGTGCATACATATACACATACAGCCATGGAAACACAATTGTGCAAATAGAAATTTGAGCGAATATCGTCTTCCACTTATATAAATATTTATAATACTGCAATATTTAATATATTGTTTTGTTTTTATTTCTTATTTGCTTTAATTGCAAACAGTAGAGTTTTGTGAAAAAATTTGTATTATACAACTGCAATTCGTAGCCCAAAAAAAAACATTGCAAGATTTATATTTAACAGCTGCTTTCGCGAGATCTTTAATGAGTTTCATGAAGCACTTTTTAAACCTTTTTCAAATTTTTCGCTTCAATAAAAGCTTAAGCGGTTTTTTCGCTGATGTACAAGTGCTTTGAATAGGAATAATTAAAAAAAAAAAAAAGTTTACTTTAATTTTTGCACAGTTTACGCTCCGCTCCAGAGCTTCTCAATTTTTAATTTTACAATTTTAACCCATATTTTCTTTAATCAAATAAGTGAATAAATACAGCTTTCTGCATGCATTTAAGACTGTGTGACACAATTTTATTTACGGTAATGCATAATTTTTTTTATTTTAATATATACATACATACATAAATACTACATAACTTCATATACATATATAATTGTTGCTACATATTGGCATGTGCATGCATACACATATGTACTTATGTATGTATGTATGTGTAATTTTAATAGTAGTAGGGAAGTATTTTTTTTTTTTTAACTTTGTATTGTAGTTAAGCTAATATTTTAGTTATCTTCCATTTTTTTTTATATTTCCACCTTCATAAAGTTAGTAATTTTTCCGAGTTTTAATTTTGTAAAAAGTCTCAAATACAAATGTCAACTTAAATATTGTTAAACATTATATAGGAATTTATAAATATATATTTTTTCTAATTTGAAAAATAAACGTATTGTCTAGAAATGTGAACACACATAAATACGCTAGTGTATCTGTATTGAAGCTAAATAATAATATGTAGAGCAAGGCTAATTGTTTAATCTTTTCTATGCCCTTAAATAAATATAAATTCATAAAAGCAAATGAGTGCATACATAAATTCTTATAACTATAAATATGTTTTAGTAAGTTAAATAAATTTCGATTTTATGCTGAAAAAAATACTTGATTTTGTTTGTTTTTATTTTTACTTTATTTTACTTAAAGCCATGTTTTCACTGGACGTTGAATGACAAAAATTGTGTGTCCTAGCTGGGCATTAAAAAATATCTGGGACCTTACTATGTAGTTCGGATCGATAGCAAATTTATTCGAATTCGAACTATTGGCTCAAAAAAAAAAAGATTTAGGCGTTCGAGTAGAACTTCTTTTCAAAATGATATTTCGAATCGGGCTTCATTCGATGATGAGTGCTGTGATTATTCTTCCGAAGAATACCATCAGATATTCGCAGCTGCAGTTCTCTCGAGGCTGATGCTGCTTTAACACAAATATGAACATATGTATGAGTTCATCCTAGAGGTAACCGCAGATTCGCGTAGTGAAACGCTTGGAGCTCGTTAAAACGCATTGTAGCAGTATGTGTAGTGGGGTTTGGCCACCCAACTACTAAGAGTCTTATATAACCAAGCGGGCATCTTCCAGTAGAAGTGCTTTTAGTGCTTTTTTACGAATCGAAAATCATGAAATTTTCCTATCATTTTCTATACAAAAATTTTAAATATTCGATTCGTACGAAATGCAGGATACGCATTGAGTTTTGGTAATTTTTTTCTCTATTTAGGTAGGTAGGAAGGCTGTCGCGGGTGCCTGTAAGACACAGTTAGGCTTCGGGCCCCTTGTGATACCGCATATGGGGTCAGTAGCCCCCAATCCCTCCTAAAACCATTTTGAGCTTCGCAGTAATTTCAGAAGATCCTTGATTTCAACGCATCTACGGCGCTCTAGGTTATCGAAGAACTGTCTACCCAGTGTGGAGAGTTTTCGTCTGGATAGAGTAGGGCACTGGCACATCGGGTGTAGAATCGTTTCCTCCTCTTTTTCAATTGGCGAGCATACTTTATATAGAAGAAAATGTACGACACCGTCAGCCAAAAAAAAAAAACAAATATTAAAAATCAGCGGGATTTTCTATCATCTTAAAATTTGCACTTAAATTTAATGAGCTATAAAACTGCATACCTTTAAATTTTCAATAAAAAGTTTAACATTGTTGGGTGTAATTGTTACAGTAATATGCCACACTTTTATAAAAAATAATAAACATTAAGTAAAGAAAAGAAAAACAACCAAAACTGGTCAAAATTTAACTTAACTTAATCAGTTTACCACAAGTATGTATGTAAAATTTTAATATTTTCAATCACTGGTATCGACACCTAAACATATTTTAAAGTTTTGAAATTTTCATGGAGGTCTTCAATTTGTATGTAAAACGAAATTTAGATTTTGACATTTTAAGATGCACCCTAATGTTTGTATGTAGATACTGGTGGTCCTTAAAAATCAAATGAACGAGTTTCAACCCGTATCACCACGGTCGATATATTTGACTCGATTAGAGACGGTTAAGGCGTGTCGCAAAAGGGGAGCAAAGTTCAGATTCCTCTATAGAGACTCAAAAAATTAAAATTATATTTTTTTTTTCATGTAATACCCAAAATCGCGACTACTATAGTCGAAGATATCACATAGGCCCCTATTATGATTTGCATTCGATTTTCGACTGTGGTCGAAAGTGCTGAGCGAACGAATTTGCATTTGGTATTATGGCACTCATTCGATGAAGAATAGCGCTATTGTGAATTTCGCTCGTTTAGGTTGTTCACAATAGTATATTTTTCACCGCTGAGAAGCTTTGTTTACAAATCGAGCAAACTAAATAGTGTGCTTATACATATTTATGTAAATTTGTTCTAATTAAAATGAAGTAAAAAAGAAAGCAAGTTTATAAAAACGTGGTAAAATGAGTACAACGAGTTCTGGTTCAACGATTCGTCAGAGGATGAGAGCTTAGTAAACTGGCCAGGAGTAGCAAATGTTTAAGAGAGTTTAAGTTTATTAGTCTTTCGAATGTATTTTGATATAAAATATATTTAAGAAATTTGTCTACAGATTCATTAAAAAGTTCCGACCATCTAAAGAGGCGTTTGTGAGCCAAATCTATTTAAAATATTTTAAAACTATCAACAGCGCTACGATTTTGTTCTCAGAGATCGTGCCAACAGAGTATTGAGATTTTCTTTCATAAGTAAAACCAGCCTTTCGAGCTTGTGTTTAGTATTCAAGATGTTAGAACTGCATGAAATTAATAAAAATTGTTTAAAATTAATGTCTAGCCGCCAAAATGTAAGAAAACATATACAAAATCATACATTTTTCACAATTTTCTAACACTTCGCTACACCATCGAAAGCAAAATTCTGTTCGACAGAAAATTCGATACTCAACGAAAATTTCGACACGCTTGCATAGCTCATAATACGAATTCCACTTTCGATCTTCGATCTTCGATAGCCAGCGAAGATCGAAAATCGAATGCAGCTCATAATAAGGGCCATAAATTTAGTCCCGATTGGAGTCGGTTAAGGTGTGTCGCAAAGGGGTCAAAAGCCTCTATGGAGACTCAAAAAATTACAACAACAAAAATTTCATTTAATACCCAAAATCTATACTACTTAAGTCGAGAATATCACAAATATAAATTTTG